TTATTTTCTCAGACTTACAAATGAAGATGCTGAGTCTCAGGGGTACAGTTGAATACCTAGTGTACATACCTAGGTTGATGTCCTGGCTCTGCCTCTTGCTCCCTGTGTGGCCATAGGCAAGTTGTTTAGTCTCTTTGAGCCTTAGTTTCCTCATTGATAAAACATGTCAACAGTTGACACAAAGAGCAGAATGATGTAGGTATGGCCAACCATGCTCTTCCCACCCTGTGCAGACATCTGTTAGTGGCATGAGATGGTTTACGGCCTGTATCTTCTACTGTCAATTCTATGGACAGGAATCAGTTTTGAATTAAGCCACACCAACTCAAAATGGACTCCTCCAGTACTGATGACAGCACAGAATCCACACCTCAGTACCACAGTGAAAGTAAGAATGGCCCTTTGACAGAGCAAGTAACTGTGTCCAAATTGAGAAACAGGGCTTTCTTCTTACTCTCCTCCTACCCCGCATCCTGCTTAAGCACCAAGAAATCAAGCACTCAGCTTGTTTTGCTCACCATAGTACCCTCCAGTGCTTGGAGCAGTAGGAGCACACAGAAATGCTTTAAAAATATGTGTAGAACTGAATCATTTTAATGATCTAATACCATTTTTTGATAACCTGGATATTCTCATCTACAGTGTAGAAGACAGAAAGGTGCTCACTTTCCTACTTACGATGACATGATTGTATTGTCTTAAGGTGATGCGTGAGCGTCACCTTGGGAGTGTGTTAGAAATGCAGATTCCTAGGCCCCACCCTAGACCTGCTGAAACAGAAACTCTGGGGGTAGGGCCCAGCAGTCTGTGTTTTTACAAGCCTTTCAGGTGATTCTGATGCTCACTGAAGCTTGAGAACCACTGGGCTCTGCTTTCCTCTCCTCTATGGAGTCTTTCTTGACTCCAGAGCCTGCCTTGGCATTTCTCCTATTAGAACACGAAGGTCTGTAATCTACCTTTGCTCTAACCGCCCTACTGGAAAGTCAATACATTCTGTACCTGGGTTTATACTTGCCAGGAAGTTACATTGTTCAAGACATGAGGTTCTCTGGTTCCTGCTATAGTTTTTTTCGCGGCCAAAGTGGGTGTTTGGTTACACATGCTTAACATATTTTCCAAGTTGAGGTTATTGTGACCATGCTCTGTGGCACAGGACTCTGGGTCTCAGTTCTTGTGAGAACTGCCATCCTGCCCCCAGCTTCTTGCTTGTTAATTCTCCCGAGCAGCTGGTCTGTTTTTATCTTGTGGACACCACCTCGTGTGACTGCTCATGTGTCTTTCTTTGTACGTTATTGTTAGCTGCCTCCGACTTATGGCAACCTTACATACAACAGAATGAAATGTTGCTCAGTCCTGCATCATCCTCACAATCACCACATTGAATCCATCTCACCGAGGGTCTCCCTCGCTCTCACTGGCCCTCTGCTTCACTGGACATGATGTCCTTCTCCAGCAGTTGATCCCTTCTAATGATGTGTCCAGTGCAAAGGAGTTGGACAGTGTTCCGTTGTGATCATAAGATTTTCATTGGCTAATTTTTGGAAGTAGATCGCTAGGTATTTCTTCCTAGTCTGTCTTAGTTATCTAGTGCTGCTGTAACTCAAATACCACAAGCGGGTGGCTTTAACAAATAGAAATTTATTTTTCTCACAGTTTAGGAGGCTAGAAGTCTGAATTCAGGATACCAGCTCTAGAGGAAGACTCTCTTTCTCTGTCCGCTCTGGGGGAAGGTCCTTGTCTCTTTTCAGCTTCTATTTCTAGGTTCCTTAGTGATTATGGAAACCCTGGTGGTGTAGTGGTTAAGAGCTACGTCTGCTAACCAAAACATTGGCAGTTCGAATCCACCAGGTGCTCCTTGGAAACTCTGTGGGGCAGTTCTACCCTGTCCTGCAGGGTTGCTATGAGTCAGAATTGACTCGACAGCAACGGGTTTGGTTTTTTTTGGTTAGCAATTATGTGGCATGTATCTTCACCTCTGTTTGTCCTTGCTTAATCTGCTTTATCTTTAAAGAGATTGACTTAAAAAACACTGTACACTAATACTGCCTCATTAACATGACAAAGAAAACCCGTTCCCAAATGGGATTATAACGACAGGTATAGGGGATAGGATTTACAGCACGTATTTTGAGGGAACACAGTTCAATCCATAACATTGTCTTAGTCTGGAAACTCTGCTGAAACCTGTCCACCATGTGTGACCCTTCTAATATTTAAAATACCGGTGGCATAGCTTCCAGCGTCATAGCAACATGCAAGCCACCACAGTACAACACACCTGACTGGTGGGGGTTTCTTTGCACAGCCACTAGAAAGTTTTAGAGGCAAATCAGTGGCCTGTCCGTAGCATGTGGAGAGGCCCTTATACTGTTTGTGCAAATCTCACTCTTGGTTTTATCTTATTTCCCTTCCATTGTTTTCTCTTTGACCTTATTTTCCCAACTACAGACTTTTTTTTTTAGTCCATCTTATCTTGTATTCTGTGGACCTTTGTCAGCTGCATTGATTAATTTTGTAAGGAAGAAATTTAAATAAATACAAAATTCAATATTTTTTGCTTTGATATATAATGTATATAAAACAGTTAGCATTTGGTAGATGATGGCTTTTAAGTGGCCATGTGTACAAGGGTCTGTCTGATTCCAAGTCCCAGGCTCCCTCTGTGTACCATGTGGGCAGAGATTCAGTGAAAATTTTTTTTAAACTCAGAAAACCAACAAAATAGGAATTCAGGATGATCTAGACAGCCAAATGAAGGACATTTAAGACAGGACAGAAGACCTTTTAATAGATGTTAAATCTTCCTTTTCTAAGATATTTGTCCATCAGTCAACAACTCCAAAAGTGGAGTAATTAAATTGTAGCAAGACAATTTACCCCTGAGATTGGAGATGCCCTAGAAACCCTTAGCTAAATAACCTGTCTGATTACCAAATGGTGGTGGATACATTGCAATTCTGTAACTGTTTGAGTGACACACTTTGCTCAGTTTACTTTATAATTTAAACTCAATCACACTTTTAAAAAAGTTGATACGCAAGTTTTTTCATAGATCTGCCTACTTCTGAATTAACCTCAACACAAATTGCTTTGGCTAATGTTCTCAGTGAAGTCACCCCTGATCGGCTTAGCATGTGACCTTAGCCTTTTGGCAAGAGGGCCCATGGGACCCCTTCCCCCAATTCTCACCCCCTCCACAGATCCAAGAGGGGAAAGAATGTACTTGTGGCCGCCATTTATTGACTACCCCTGCACACCAGCCAGGCACCTGATGAACTTTTGACTTTCTCTCTAATCGTCACAAGCCTAAGCAAGGCAGCTCAAAAGTTTTCTAGCTTGTGGTGCTCTGTGTTAATCCCGTCTTTAATTTTGATAATAAATTGAAATAAACTGAAACTTTAAAAAATTTGAGTATGAAAAAAATTTTGAGCATGAACGTGGATGCTGAGCAGAACTTATATTAACGTAGGACTTTGATGTTCTTACTGAATCCCCACTGATTAAGAATCAAGTGAGATTATGGCTATACAAGTATTTTGTACTATTATACTTTGGTACAATGTAAGAGGCTATTACATACATGACATTTCAATGGCTTTACAACCGTAAGGGTCTCTAATTAATAGGGAATAGCGTTTGAGCTGGTCAAAGTTAGAGAATCCAGCAGTTGTCTTTATTAGGTTGAGGAGGAAGCCACTGTAGAAGTCTGCTGGAATTAGAGCAGCAGTTGTCAGAAATGGGCCTTTCCGTTCATGAAACACAGATAATTGGGGTGAAAAGATGGCACATGAGCACCTAGTTGTTCTGTCTTAGATCTGAGCAGCACTTTAAGTTTGTAGATCTAGTTCTCAGGAATCCTGCAAGGAGAAAAAAGGAGGTGAAGTGTGTTTATTAAGTAGCAGGCGTATAACTTTCTGGTATGATGCCCTAATCAGTTGTATTAATAGGAACAAGTGTGTGCTCCACATGGACCATTTCTCCAAATAGACCTGGTTTCCTGCTGCCGAATCTGTGTCTCCCTCAGTCTACTAATTGTCTTCCTTCCTCCAGACTTGAACCTGTTTTCACCAGTGTTGAGCTGTCACCGATCCCCTCTAAATTGTGATTCTTGGTACCTGACAGAAACCCGATAATCCAGGTTAGCCCCATATGCATATGCTCTGCATATGCGCAGATACAGGGGGCTTCTGCAGCTAAATCTCTCAAGCGTGTTTCTTGGGATTATTCCAGATCCTTGAACATTTATGGGAGAGGCTTGCCTAGTCTGAAAGATGTGCTAAAACGATATCCTCACGTGGAAAAAAAAAAAAACTTGCCTAGCCTTAAGAAAAAATAAAACCTAAAACTGTTCTCTCAGTACATGTTACATTGTGAAACGATGCTGGGGTACATTGTCCTCTTAAAGCATTTTAAGTGAAGATGAGCTTTTTGAAAGCCTTTGTTTCCCGGCGATTTAGTGACGGACTTCCCTTTGTGTTCTCCTAAATTCTTTGTATTTGGAAGTAAGTTTACCATCACCCCCGCTGACAGACTGATCTGGGTAAAGAATGCTAGGTTCCGAGTTAATGGTTACAAACCACGCTTAATTAATCCTTCAGTCCTAGCTGAAGGCACAAGTTAAAAGGATTGTGCAGGCTGGTGGTTTCTCCTCCCTCCTGTTGTAGAGACATCCTTAGCCCGCACTAGAGGTGAACGGTGGAAACCATGGGTGGTAGAATATCAGTCCCCCTGCCCTTTTTACTACCTAGATCTGATAGTGAATTCAGCAGGTGAGATTATGGACCACAATGTGCAGGTTTTCTGTACATTATATATTTTCTGATCCTTTTCAATGCAAATGAATAAAAAACAAATGTATGGATTTTAGTCTGGAACAGAGGTCTTCTTCAAATTCATGTAATTTAAAAAAAAAAAAAATCTGCTTGGCTTTCTGTATTTCCCACTGAGTGTAATGACTTGTGTGTCTTTGTTTTCTCCTTTCCCTTCCTGTGGGCACGTAGCACGTGTGGAGTGAGAGCGAGGACTGCCTGCCTTTCTTGCAGCTAGCGCAGGATTACATCTCCTCCTGCGGCAAGAAGACGCTCCAGGAAGTCTTGGAAAAAGTCTTCAAGTCTTTCAGACCCGTAGGTGCCTACTTGGCTTCTAAAGATGGCTTGCTTGCCACAGCGATTGTGTTTTGAATAACGTGGATTGTGGGGAAAGTGGGCAAAACCTGGGATGACTAATTGTTTTTCTCTTGTCTGCCCTGTGGCTTAAAGATAGCAGCTAGTGCTGGGAGGATGGGGGCGGGGTGGGAGAGGGGAAGGAGGGGATGTGACACAGCTGTTTGTTGCAGCCATCATGGTTATTTCTAGCATCACTTGAGTTGAGAATCCCTGATAGGATGGGAAGCAAACAGATCCTTTGGGAGACAGCTGAGTGTTCCTCTTCTCACCCGGTAGGCTTAAAACCAAGATGCTTGGAAGTGCTATTGAAGTTCTTTTATAGTGTTATTGCTGTGTGCCATTGAGTCAGTTCTGACTCATAGCAACCCTATAGAACACAGCAGAACTGCCCCATACGGTTTTCTAGGCTGTAATCTCTACCGGAGCAGATCGCCAGGTCTTTTCTTTCATGGAGCTGCTGGTGGGTTAAAACCACCAACCCTTTGGTTAGCAGCCTAGGGCTTAACCATTGCACCACCAGGACGCCTTCTCTTATAATAGTGGAACCTGTATTTGGGGAGTTGTGAGAAGGCTATATAAAGGATGTACTTTTATGTCTGTGGGTATGGAGAAAGATGAAACTGGGTATTGGGTCTATTCTTTTTTCTTTTTACAAACTTGCTTTTCTCTTTCTTCCTTTGCCCCCCTTCTCTCTTGGGATTTAGGAATCTGTATGTCTGTGGCTAGCTGACAGTTTCTTTCATAGCTGCTAAACATATAAAATGAATACCCACCCCTATTTTGAAGATCACCTGTTTTCCTCTATCTTTATTGGAAAATAAAGTCACATTACTAATGTCCTGCCACTTCCCCCAGGTCCAGTTACCTGCATACCATAAATGCTCCACATGTTCAGTGGTATTTGCTCTAGAATTTCCATTCTTTTCCAAATCTTTTTTTATGGTATCGACTTCTCTGTGAAATTTTCAAGCTTGTCTTTTATTTCTTGGAGCATAGGAAGCTTGGTTGCATAATAGATGGTGTCTCACGTACCAATATCTCCAGTCTTTGAAAGTCTGTTTTGTTTTTTGTTTCTGCTGGTTCTTCCTCTTGATATCTTGTTTTGCTGTGTGTTGAATTATCTCTGGCTGTCTGCTGGTTATTGTGTTCGAGAATTTATTTGTAGGAATTAATCGAGGCCTAAGATGATGGCATCTTCCTCCAGAGAGGGTTTGTGTTTGCTTCTTCCAGGGCTTGCAGGCCCTATCAGCCTGAGGCCACCTTGAAATAGTTTAAGGCTTTGTTGGTCTCAGAACTCTCCAGGTGATGGAAGGCCAGTCTGCAGGTCTGGTTACTTCTAGTTCATCCTTGTTGTGAGAGAGGAGGCCCTTGGGACCCCAGCTTAAAATGGGGTGGTTAATCATAGTTTGCTACTTTAGAAAACCCTAGGCTTTAACTTTTGTTCCCCTACCTCCTTGAGAAGGCCAAGAATGCAGTAGAGTTTCTAGCTGTTTCTCTCAGATCAGCAAATATCTTCAGGACAAAAGCAGCTTTTTGTGTTAGGCTTACCTCACTTGTTCTGATTTTCAGTATATTTAAGGAGGCGTTTTTCACATTTAATCCAGCTTTTTAAATTTTTTCTGAAGAGTTAGTTCCGGTCACTTAGTCCACCATTATAGGAAATGGAATTTCAGTGGCTTTTGCCACTCTTTCTGATTTGTATCATTCGGGTGATACAATGGTTAAGTGCTCTGCAGCTGATAACTGAAAGGGTCAGTGGCTTGAACTCACCACCTGCTCTGCAGGAAAAAAGACCTGATGATCTGCTCCCGTATAGATTACAGCCTAGCAGAACAAAAAAGCAAATTCACAGGAAAGACCAGCCTTACTAGTCTGAAAGAGACTGGAGGAACCCCAAGACTGTGGCGCTAAGACACCCTTCTGAGCTGGAACTGAAGCCATTACCGGAGACTACCCACTAGCCAAACTATAGACAGGCCCATAAAATAAACAACAACCTTTGAGAGGAACGTATTCCTTAGAACAATCTATTATACGAGATCAAAAGGGCAACATTTGCCCAAAAGCAAAGATGAAAAGTTAGGAAGGGGTAGCAATTCAGGACAAAAGGAAACAGGGAACCTAGGATGGAACTGGGGGGAGGGCAGGTACATTGTGGGGCATGGAACACTTTGTGTACAAACTATCAAATGGGAAACTAATTTGCTATGTAAGCTTTCACCTAATGCACAATAAAAAAGTTAAAAAGATTACAACCTAGGAAACCCTATGGGGCCATTCACCTCTGAGTAGAGTTGACTCAGCAGCACACAACAACAACAAGAATTCACTTTTTGCTTGTTAATTTTCTAAGCCAGTTGGGGTCATTCAAATAGATGTTTGATTTAAAAGTACAGTCTGCCCTACTTTAATCCATTCATTCAATAAATATTCATTGAATACCCACTAGGCGTTCGACATTGTTTACTAGCACTTGAATGAAATACGTGAAAATCCTAGACCTCACTGGGCTTACATGTAGTGATAGGGAGACAGGACAAATAATTCCAACATATACTGTGTTAGACAGTGATAAGTGAAAAGAAGAAAAAAATCTGGGAAAAAGGGTAAGAAGTGTCAGGGTACTGAAAGTTTTAGTAAAGGCACCAGGGAAGGCTTCACTGAGAAGGTAACATTTGAGTAAACACTTGAAGTAAGGAGTAAGCCATGAGGAAATCTGGGGGAAGAACATTCTAGGGAGAGGGAAGAGCAAGTACGAAGGCTATAAGTGGGTGGAAGCCTGTGTCCAAGGAACAACATGGGGCCCTTGTGGCTGAAGTGGAGGGGAGGTGAAGACTTGTGAGAGATGAGTCAGAGGAATAATGGGCCGTGCAGGTCACAGTAAGGACTCTGCTGTGATGGGGAGGCACTGGAGGAGTTTGAGCAGAGGAGTGATGTGATCTGACTTCATACTTTAAAAGACTCCCTCTGATGACTGCTGAGAATAGGCTGTAAGGGAGAAGGTAGAAGCAGGGAGACCAGTGAAGCCATTGCTGTTACCCAGCTGAGAGACGATGATGGTTTGGATTAGGATAGCAACAGCGGAGGTGGTGAGAAGGGATCTCATTCTGGATATATTTTGAAAGTAGATCTAACAGGACTTGCTGATGGATCATAAGTGGGATGTGAGAAAAAGAGAGAACACAAGGATGGTGCCAACATTTCTTGTCTGAACTATGAAGGGAATGGAGTTGTCATTTGCTGAGATGGGGAAGGCTGGAGGAGGAGAGGTTTGGGGGTGATACTATCAGGAGCTTAGTTTTGGACATGTTTAGTGTTTTATATACCCATTAGATGTTCAAGTGGGGATACCAAGTTAGGCAGCATTCTTCAAAGATGTATTCCCACAAATCTTAGCCAGAAAAATACTTATTAGCAAATGATACTCACCATGCAGTTGGTTTGCTCACAGGAGCTCCGTTCATTAGCCAGCCATGTGGAAATCACTATGGTGGAAAACAAAATACATGCAGGCTTGGCTCCACTGGAGAAGGTAAGCTCCAGCCAGAATTCATTTTGCTATTTTTCTCTACTAACTCTATGGCTGTATTTCCCGCAACGAGGGAGCCGCATGTAAATGGACAAAAAATGCAGTCCAGAAAATCCAGATGCATAGCTGAATGCAGTTGAATTGGTTGACTACTTTCTTTCAGATCAAGCTGTTGTGTGTCACAGAGACACACCAATTTGATTTAATATTGTTGGGTGTCCAGGTTTTGTGCCCAATATGGGGCCTTAGTTGTAGGAGTTGCTGCTGAGATGAGGAGGCGTGACCTGGTACAGCGCCCCCCGTTGGTCGGAAAGGGTTTCAATGCTGGGGCCCCCTCTGGCTGGGCCTGTCTGCTACTCAGGGAAAGGCCGATGAGAGGCACCTTCACAGGGTTAGTGAAGGTAACGCACCAACTTTGGGCTTTGGGTTTCTCCAGTCAGGATGTGCCCCAGATTGGATGAGAAGGAGCGTTATAAGCTTGAATAAAGAACTGCTGGCGATCAAGTGGGAAACTTTGACCTGCTCCATCTCCACTCAATAGTGCGTTTCTTCCCAATGGTGCCATTTAGCTTTTTGTTTTATATATAAGAGGTTTAACTTTAGAAATAAGAAATGGGCAAGGGTTTTGTTGCCGCTGTTGTAGTTGAAAGTGTTTGCTCAAGAAACGTGTTCCCAGCTATTGCAAGGTTATCAAGCAGGTAAAACTTTAGCACATCATTTCCCTGAAAATTTGTGGTGATCTGATCAGTTCATGCAGCTGCTTTTTGTTTCTAGTGAGGAAGCCACAGGAGGAAAATTTTTACCTTCATTGTAGAGCTGTCCCCATCACTGGCTTTGAATCCTTGCTTTCCCTTGGCCCCCTCATTGCTAGTCCCTGACCTGTGCAGTCTCTCCAGAGAGATGAGTACCTATTTGTTGACAACTGTCTGCTGCCTTGTGGGCACCAGCCAAGCAGATTCAATTAACGTGGCTGAAACTGGTGCACTCCTACATCCACAGGCCAGCGTCCAGTCCTCTTCTGTCCTTCTGTGGTGATCCTGCCGCAAGGCCAAGACCACGCCACTTTAGCCCTCTATATCTTTCAACATGTAAACTTGGAAGACTGCGTACTTTTTGTCTCTCCCTCTCGCTTGCCTTCCTCCCACTGAAACACCTCAAAGTCTCCCCTAAAGAAATCTGTTGTTGGATTTGAAAAGGAAAAAAAAAAAAAAAGTCATTCTTTTTTTTTCCTTCCTGCCATCTTACACCTCTTGTTTTTCCTCTACTTCTTATCACATTTTCAACGAAATGTTTTGGTCATCTGCTATTTGCCAGAGCACTGCTTTGGAGGTTGAGGGGCAGGGCACGAAATGACCCCGTTCTTGCCCTCAAGGAGCTGACTCCCTAGTAGGAGAGACAGACACGTAAGTGTACTGAGAAACCTCACATT